GATAGAGAAATAAAAATTAAACGAACAATCACGCTTTTGCCCTCCAACAGGGCTAATTTCAAGGACGATTTGATACAAAATTTAGGCTGAGTTTTACAAAAAAAATTTTGGCTGCAAATGATCTAAAATGTATTTTCTGAAATCTCTAATTTTGATTCGAGACAATTAGCAGTTTCTTGCCGGCTCCGACAACGCTATTTATCACAATATCTATTTTTTTTTCTATTAGAGCAAAACCGAGTAAAAATATTATCATGCCATTTGAATCATTTTAAAGGAAATAATTGCATTAATCACTGTGACAAGTTTTTTCAATTCTTTTGTTTCTCCACATAAAACATTGAGACTTTCAGAAAAAGTATTTCAGGTCATTTGCAGTTGGTCGATGCAGAAAAATTGGTAAAAATTTGAGTTAGATGTTGTCAATTTAAACGAAAAAATAGACACACAGGGAATTTTTTGCGTTAAATTTTTTCCTATAATGTACAGTAGTCTTCATGGCCAAAGCTCACCTAGTTCAGTAGAAACTAATTTTCAGTTTTACCATCCGTAATCCACTTCATAACTGTTTTGTTTGGTCGACCGCAGATTATGTTCGAATTACAGTTTCGTTGAATAAAACAACTGCAGATTAGTTGGGCTGGGTATAAAATTTTGCTTGAATTTCAAAATTTTGATTCTGTGATAGATAATGCCCAAATTTAGCTCATGTCGTGCTTGTTCAAAATTTTAACTAAAATCTAGATGAGCAACAAAAGTCATGGTTAGAACTAAATGCCTTTAAAGGAGGACGAAAAATCTTTAGTTTAAAGAGTGCATAATTTGCTTAAAAAATGGCAAACTGAAAAACGCAGTTGTGTAAAATTAAAATTATTCAGAAGGAGGAACGATAATAACAGAGTCATAACATTTTAATATTGCCTTTAGCAATCGGCCTTGTTTCTTGCCAACTATAAGCCATGCAGCTTGTGGTGAGTTATTTTTCCATTGAGCAGAGTATGCTAACAAGAGAGAGGCTTCATCATCGCTGTACACTTTATGTATTACATTAGCAGAAGCTACCTTTTGCACCGAGAATTTTTGTGACACATATTGAAACACGCAGTGTCGAGATCTGGATTATTTTTCGAGATGCAATTTACTCTGTTTTGTAACTTGTATACAACACATTTCCAAAACGAGAATACAGCAGGCTAAATCGAAGATTTGCTCGCCAACACGTGGTTTTTTCTCTTTCTTATGTTTGATTATCGAATGAAGCGAATAATTATTTTGTATACTTGTGTTGATTTAGAAATAGGTCACGGACACATAAACCAAACATGTGTTAAACTGTAATCAATTCAGCTACCAGCAATATGCTTTCAAATAGTGAAAAGGATGTTGCTTTTTTTTCTATCAGTGCTTTTCTGTCTATATGTCTATATGTTGTTTCATTTGTTGCCAAAATATTTCTGAAAAATATAGTTTGATAGCTACTTATTTAATATCTTTTACACATTAAAATATTTCAACCAGCTGCGATTTCATTATATGATTAAAATGAGACCGCTCATTTTGGTTTTCAATTAGTAAAAAAATATATTATCTTGTTTTTGTTGAAATCCCAACAAATAGCGTTTGTTTTCACTAAAAAAACAATGGGTCTGAAAAACCTTCAATTTTTTAAACTGAATTTTAGTTTTTTTCATCTTTTGAGAACATACGCGAAAATTTCCTAAGCATGGTAAAATTTGTATACCTTGACAGGATGTTTTAGCGTGGTCGTAAAAGCGTTACTTGCAACCCAAAACACACCAAAAAATCTCAAAAATCTAATTACAGGAATAAAATTATTAAATTGTTGCCGTTTTTCGATTACAGCTATTTCAAAAATGTAAAATACATCTGAATCAGGTTTTTCAGCTGATTTTTTGATAACAGGGAGAGACCAAAAACTATACTAATGAATTAATCAGACCAAAAAAGGAACCTCACAAAACAGACTTAAATATTGAAATTAGTTTTTTTTATGTACTGATTTTTAAATTATGCTTCAATGAATCAAGGATTCCAACGGTTCATGCCTATTTTTTGGTTGGTCTTCCAAAAATCAACAGAAAACTTCAAAAAGCTGAAATATATATACTCTTTGAGTTTAAAGAATAAAAAATACATTTTCTGTTTTCCGTCTTTTTTGAAGTTTTCAGCAGAGAAATAGATAATAATCAATGTAGCAGGGTTCTTATCATGTCCAATTTTTCAATGATGTTTCAACCATTCAAAATTGTTTAATCAGTGATCATCT